CCATACCCAGAGGGGAAGGAAGTGTTCCAAGGGTCAGGAGAGGCCAGAAGGTCACTCCGGGAAGGCACAGTCCTGTCAGGGTGAGAGAAGGTGCCTACCTCTGTTTCCCCATTGTTACCTTGAACTCAAGGTGTTGATTCCATGAGTACAACACAAGAATACCAGAGCATTTCAGGAAGAGCCTGTGGCACACAAATACTGTCAGGGAAATGTTGTCCCTGCCAGATCTCTTGTCCTAACAGCACTTCCTAATTCCGTAAGATGCTCAAAAGAAACCAGAAGTAAGACACGTATCAAAGCATCATGTTGCACACCATAAATATATGCAGTTTTTATTTATCAATTAAAATTAATTAATTAAAAAAGAAAAAGAAACTAGAAGTAGAGAATGAAAGGAGAGGAAAATCAGGACTTTAGAATAACTTTAAAAGAAATAGTGTAAGATTTATATGGGTAAAACAAAAGAATATCTCTTCTTGAAGGTGCTTCAACCTTCAAGGTAAACAGAGAAGGAGCATGAAGGTGGGTTTACTCCAGGGAACTGAAAATGCTTTGAGGAAGGAAATAAAATGTGTAGATGAAGCTACCTTGGAACTAGTGTTTTTGTGAGGCACGTAAGAATATAAGACTGAAGAAAGTGAAATGAATAGGGCAGGATGTGAATGTTCAGACTTGTTGCATTTAGATGCTTCGTGGTTTGTTTTGTCTTCTCTTTGCTGCCCCAGAAATACAAACTGAAATAATTCTCTCACAATCCAGGAAAGTTTGAAGAATCAACTCTTCCCAACCTCAAGGTAAGGGAAGCCTAGTTTTAAGACTTAAGCTTTGGATACAATGGGTGTCCTCAGCTCATTGTGAAAGAACAAGAGGTAGTATAGGGTTTGTGGAAAGGAACAGAGTGGCATGAAGAAGCTAAGACAGGGAGGGACTTCCCCATCCTGGAATGGGATTCCCCTGGGAGCAGGGAGCAGGAGTGGCTCAGCAACTGCAATCTGGTGTCTGCAATGTCTGCAAGGTGAGCCTGTGGAGGTGAGATCCTAGATACCAGAGTTGCTAGCCTCCTGGAAGATTACCATGTCCTACTCAGGGAATGCAAGCAGGGCTTGGTTAGTGAGGATGCCTGCAGCATCCATGTCAGGCTTGATTAGTGAGGATGCCTGCAGCATCCATGGCAAAAGGGATATTAATGGTCTTCCTCTTTCTCCAGACACCATGAATGCCATCTGGTTTCTGACACAGCTCTGGGATGTTACTAGGGGGGCTAATAATGACCCAAATAAAGTTTATTTCCAATAGGATTGTATCTAAGACAGAACTTGGGTTGAACTGATAAAAATTGTTTTTCTTTTATGCTTGAGGGTGTGGACTGAGTTTCTTACCAGCTACATAGTTTTGCCCAATATTGGCCCTTGTCCAAAACCTCACAATTCGTCTGCTCTTATTTTCTGTGAAGGTGATATAATTCAGGTGTACACTTCTGCAGGAAGAGTGTGTTTTCTCCCCTTTGTAAATCAACAGCTGCTTTTTATTTTCCTTATGCAATCTAGCAGAAATACTGAGGGTGAATAAAATTATCCTGGATTTACAAGATACCATGTTTCCCTAAATAGATGGAAGTACTTCCATTCTATCATTTCTTTAATTCTGGTTTAAAAGGATTAGGTGTTGATATATAAGATGAGGGCTTGTTTGATACAGTCAAACCTCAGTGCATTTCATCACCAATTTTAGATATCTCTCCTTCTAAGTAGCCTGGATATATGGAACTCAGATTTATACAAGCAACTTATTTGTTTTGCACAAAGGAAGTCAGGAATTTAAAGAAAAAAGTTTCTGGTTGAGGTTCTTCCTAGTTACAAAGTGATGTTAAAGCCCATTTTCTCTTCTTTGTGTTAATTCTCAGATAAAATGACTAGGGTGTGGAGGGGTAAAGTCTTAAATTTGTGATGGTAATTCAGGGGTCTTTCCTTGAGAGAAATTTCTGTGAAGCAAAAGCAGAAGAGGGAAGATTTGGATTTGATTTGGGCAAGTGCTACAAACCTTGTGAAGGTATTGGGAAAATAGAATAATTTAATCTGGCCCCCATGCCTTAGGTCAGGTTGGGGGTGGTGTGGCACATTCTTTGTAAGCAAATTGTGTGTGGAGGTGGAGTTAGCACACATGTACCATCTGCCTCAGGTGTCTGCCGTGGCAGCCATGCTCTCCATCCAACTTACAGCTTCCAAGGACCTGTTTGCCAGTTATCTAGCTCATATACCTGCATGAGAGGTCTGGTAACCCAGCCTGGCGTGTGAGGGGTCTGGGGACCCAGTCTGGATTGTGAAAGGTTTGTGATCCAGTCTGGAACAGGCTTGAGGGGTCTGTGAGCTCCAGACCCAGCCCTAGTGCAATAGAAGGAAAAGCAAATTCCAAGGTGGAGACCAGCACTGGTGGAGACGTGTGGTTCTATTCATAAAATTTGTTGCATCAGATGTGGAAGGGGAAGGACAGAAAGTTACCGAGTGTATTTGAAAAGAGTTATATTTTCCTAATGATAAACATGCTCAATTGAAGAAAATGTGGAAAAAAAAAAACAGAGAAGAAAAATCAACCATATTTCCATCCAGAAACAACTATTGTAAACATTTTGGTGCACTTCTATAAGTCTTCGTGTGAATATATTGAGATATGTATTGGAATATACTGTAAATACTGTTCTGTATCCTGTTTTAGTCACTCAATTGTGGATCATTAGCCTTTTCCTATGTCTTTAAAAATTCTTCACAAATATCACTTTAAATGACTGTATTTTCCCTCAGAAGAGTATATCATAACTTATTTAAACAATCTGCTTTTTAAGAGATATTTTTATGGTGAAAATCACTGCACATAAACCTTAGGTGTTCCTCAGTTATTTCCTCATGACAGATTCCTATATTTGGAGTTACTTAGGAGAACAAAAGATGAACTTTTCTGTGGCTCCTAATTCATATTATCAAATTGTTTTCTAGAGAGGTTGTACCAGTTTATGAAAGAATGCCCATTTTGTTGTGCCTTGAAAGTCCTAAACAGTATTCTCTAAAACTCTTTTTATTTTTTTTCCTTTTTGTCTTTTTTCGTGACTGGTAACGGGATTGCAACCCTCAGTGTTGCGCCCGTACCGCGACCAGGCAACGGGATTGCAACCCTTGGAGTCACGCCCGCACCGCGCTCAACCAGTGAACGGACCGGTCTCTATATGGGATCCGAACCCTCGGCAGGAGCGCCGCCGTGCTCCCAAGCGCCGCACTCTACCGAGTGCGCCACCGGGCTGGCCCTCTCTAAAACTCTTTGTGATTTGAAATGGTTAAAAAATTGCAGTTGTTTGAATTTGCATTTCTTCGATTACTGGTGAGCTTGGACATATTTCATGTGTTTAGTAGTCACATACATTTCCTCTTCTGTAACTATGTCTTTACCTGCTTTTCTACTGGGGGTTTTAGTATTTTCTTAATACATTGTATAGCCTTACTATGTATTGAAGATATTAATCTTTTGTTACATTTTTCATATACATTATGAATTGTGGTATATATGTGTTTCTATACAAAGAATATTAACTCTTTGGCTTTGTTGAAGTATATTTTAGTTCCATGTCCATATCCTCCTGTTGAGCTCTTTTACTTGCCCGTAATCCTGCCAACTGGGCCAATTGTCGAGCTAAGGTTGGGTTTGCAGCTCACAGACCCCTCAAGCCCATTGTCCAGACTGGGTCACAAAGCCTTAACATGCCAGGCTGTGTACCCAGACCCCTCACACGCCAGGCTGGGTCACCAGACCCCTCACACACAGGTCTATGACCTAGGTAACTGGTCAAAAGGTCCTTGGAGCTGTAGGTTGAAGAGTATGACTGCACATGGTGGATGCCCGAGACACTAAATACCAGCCAAGCTGCGGTACCATGCATGTGCACTAACTCCACCAACACACACAATTTGCTTACAAAGAATGCGCCGCACCACCCCCAACCTGACCTAAGGCTTGGGGGCCTGATTAAACTGTTCTATTTTCCCAACACCTCTGATGTTCTTGTCAGTTCTTCAAGGGCCAGGTCAAATCTTCTTTCTTCTTAAAAGCCTTTTAAGGTCTTTGAGGAGAGGGAAGTGCTCAGATGCACAGAAAAAAAAAAAAAGATCCTTGAGGTGAAATGAAACTTCTCCTCTTCTCCACTACCACCACATTTAGTTTTGTTACTCTGCAGCACTTGCTTCCATTTGCTTTAGAAGAAAGCTTTCCTCTTTGTAAAGCAGCCGTCCTGTCTTAATCACTTTGATATCGCTTGCAGTGCTTCACACAGGTGTCCAATAAATGCTTGTTGTGCTAAATGAAGTCAAAATTATTAAAGCTTAACTTTCAGAGACAATAGATCCCTGTCATCTTGCAATTGCAAGAAGCATAGACTTGACAAAATCGACTACAAACTGCATGAATCTAAAAGACAATGATTTTTTTTTCTCCCTTATAACCCAAGGTTTTTAGCACAGGTTGTAGGGATTTATGACTCCTGTAGTAGTTCGGTTGAAGTAAGTCACTCATGTGAGCTTTTTCTAAACTGTAACCTTGAGCCCATATAATTAAATTTCACTGGGAAAAATATATCAGAAAAACCACTCTAAGTGACACAGTTATAAAAAAGAGAAATGGAAGCTAGACAGGCACACTTAATCACTACTTCTAATGGGATTAGAGATATGAAAACAACAATGAAAACAACAAAACAACCAAGAATGCTGAGTTTAAATTGCCAGGAGTGTTTCTGAGTGATATACTTTTGTTTTATTGGTATCCAGGGCATTTAAGGATACAGAACAGAGTGATAAATATAACCAATAAATAGGACAGTACATGGTGGCAGACTATTCACCAGGAATACAGATATGAGTCTTTGACTACTCAGTTTTAAAACTCAAGCCCTCAATTTTCTTGGAGAAGTAAGAGTTGATATCTCGGGTTTTTTTGTTTTTTGTTTTTTTATTTTTTAGGAAAATTCATATGAACATAAGTTTAAAAAATGGGCCACAGTGGAGCTTGATGGTACTGTTAAGGTGCCAATTAATAGATTTAATAGCAGGATGACTTTTGTCCCAGTCTCTTTGGCTCAGGGTCTGGGTGTGCTCACTCATCCAGGCTGTTGGAATCTACCCCCTGAGGCTGGTACCATTGCTCTTGTGAGGAAAATGATTTCAGAGTAAGTGGATCCTCCAGTACTTGGAAGCCAAAAAGAAAGAAACCCATCAAGTAGGTTGTGCTATTTTTTAAGCTTTGAAGTTCAAAGTGTACAATTTTGGCATGAAGCAGAAGAGGTCTGGAACAGGCACATAAATTATTCTGCCAAGAAGATAAAAGAGTTCTAATGTTGAGTCACAGAAATGGAAGAGAAGTAGAGTTATGTGCAGCATTCTGCCTCTCCAGCCTTCTCCTTCCTGTCTTCTCTCTCTCTCTCTCTCTCTCTCTCTGGAATGAATTGTTTTTGTTGGGGGACAGAACAGGGAACACGGGGGAGCCCTTCCTCTTTACTTTTGGGAGATTCCAATGTAAGAGGAACATTTTCTCAGCATATGTCCCAGTGCCGCTGAGTGCCGAAGTCTAACAGAGACGGTGGCAGAGGAATAATGAGCCCCAGAAAGTGTTCACTAAGAGATAACAATAATTATGACCAAAAGTTAAATACTTAATTGGAATAAGAGTTAAAAAATTGAATTTTAGACCTGGAATGCACTTTATGATGACCTGTTCAAAATCCAGATGAGGTGTTCTGACTAGGTAGTTTAATAACTTACCCAAAGTAAACTCAGCTCGTTGGTGGCAAAGTCAAGATTAGATTAACATCCAAGCCTTCTATTTCCTGAGTCCTCTTGTCTCCAGTAACTCCCAGTTGTCCGAGAGTTTCTAAACTCTAATTCCAAGCATTTCTTTTATAGTTTTGCATTTTATAATTTTTTACATAATTAAAATATTTTATTAAATTCCATCATAAACAAAATTATTATAAACAAAAAACGCAAAAAGAGTAGGATGAAAAGTAACAAGTCTTTGCTCCAGGTTTCTTCTATCCCATTCTACAAATACAACTATGGTAACTCTTTGAGCTGTTTTCCTTTTGGTCTTTATCTCAAAATAAAATACTGACATGTTTATTGCTTAATTTATCAATTTGAGATGTTACTTACGAATTTGATACAGAGAATTCAGTTCATTACACCCACCCATCTCCCTTTCTTCCACCTCCCACATAATTCATCATCATTTATTACCACTGATTTTTTTTTTTTTATCTTTACATGCAGAACACTGGGTGACTCATTCTCTTTAGCTACTTGGAACTATCATGGATCTCCATAGAGCATTGCTATAAGCCTTTTTTCCTTGTTTTCATACATTATTTGATATGTGAGTATATGTGGCTTATATACTTCTTAATACAGTTATAATTGATCTGTATCTGATATTTCAAAATATATTGTTTCATTTTCCTTGTTTTTGAACTTTAGAATATCTGTAGTATCATATTGTAATATGTCTTCTTGGACTTGCTTTCTTCACTCAATATTATGTTTCCAAGAATAATCAATTGTGTTGCTCAGTTCATTTTAACATTTGTGTGGTATTCCATTGTGTGAACATACCACCCTTCTCCTGCTGTCTCCGTGGACATTTGTTGTTTCCTTTATTTTTGTTTTTCTCCTGCTATGGACATTATCATGATTACTCTCTATGAAGATAATGTTATTGTACATGTTTAATAATGATAATAGAATTATGGCATCAGCTGGCTTCTTCTGACTTAAATGCTGTACAAAAAGGAAAAAGAAGTATGAAAATGATGAATGTTCGGCTGAGAAAAAGGCCCCATGGCAGCTTTGAAAGTGTCCCTCCTCTCTTGTACGTTTTAAGGTAGGCTGAGCCCCAAGCCGAGGGCCTGATTGGAAGGCCTGGAGATTTGCAAGGTCACAAAATGCTTCATTCTACTAGATGTCTCATGCTAAAGTAAGGGGATTTGTGGGAGAAGAGTGGTTGAGGATATTTGGGCAGATATATGTGAAGCTGAGAAATTTGAAACTCCAAATCTTTGCTAATCTCTCTTGGCAGAGGAGTCCTCTCTTGACCTCCAGGAGATTAGCTTTCCTCTGAATCAGTCTTTTAATGGCAATACCTTGGGCAGCTCTCTCACAAGCTGATACTGACTCTTCTCGGACCCATCCCTCACTATCTTCCATTGACCCTAGGTTCATATATGACTCATATGCCAACATGATCTAGATTCAAAAATATCAGGACATAGTGCTAACCCTGAAAGAGTTACAATAACTCACCAAGTATTGTCAGAAATGTGAGGTGCATGTATGGGAGAGAATTCTAATGGTGTAATTCAATGAGGATGAACCAAAAAGGTTGATTGGACTGAGTTCATTGCCATGGGTGTCCTCACATGGAATTCTGAATTTAATATGTTGGTTCAAGTACTTGTTATAGCAGTGACTATAACAAGTCAATTTGCTATATTGACTAGTCGAAGCTAAGATTCAACAAAAATCTACTGTTAATGAAGTTGAAATGACAGATCCTCCCTGTCATACTGTACAGTACTGGTTCTCAAACTTGAGTATGCAATTGAATCTCAGGAGTACTTTTTAAAACACAGATTTCTGGAATCCACCCCAGAGTTTCTGATTTAGTAGGGTGGATTGGGGTTCAAGAATCTGAATATCTAACAAGTGTCTAGGTGATGTTGACATTGCTGGTCCTAGAACCACAGTTTGAGAATGAGAGCTATGGAGAAGGCATCTGAAAGCTACGGGAGATGGCATTGCTTCTAGTGCATGCAGTATTCTCAGCCTCCCTCTAACCATACCCCTCCACAAGGCCTGGAGGCATTTTTCACCAAAGCATTAAGAAATGCATGGAGGAGAGTGCATCATCATCCTTCATAATCTGTCTGGTGGCTGTCCTTAGTAAGCTATAGTAGAAGATGCTGCAGTGGAATTGGTTTCCCTGATATCGGTGACAAAAATGGAATCCTAGAGTTGTAGAATTCAGGTGGTGGCATTTAAGCATTAGGGACAAGATGGAAACAAATATCACAATAAGCTATAAGGACAGAATAGTAATTACAGTCTGTTGACTCACAAAGATCTATAGTGATGGTTAATTAATCATGGGTTCCCTAGAAATAAAATAAATGAGCAGCCTCTAAGGCACTGCTTAAAAAATATAGGCAGAAAAATTGTAAGGTTGATGGGCAGAAATCTGACTTCATTCACTGTGCTGGGGATACATGGTCTCATTCACAGTTTCCAGATTTAAGACAGTTTACAGCCTTTGAGCTTTTGATGAGGGAGAAGCTAGATCCTGATGACCCTGTAACATGGCCACGGGTATGTTCTATGAATCTTCCTCAAAACCTTCCCCAAAGGAACTTGTCCATTTAAAAGTGTTACTATACAATGGAGAAAGGAAAATATTCAGACCTGCTGGGGGTTATTGCATAGTGGTTCTTAATTCCTGGAGACCACAAATGCCAAAGTGACCCACCAACAAGAAGAGGTGTTTATGAAGACCAGAAGATAAAATCTTGGTCCAAGCACTTCTCATTTCAAAAGCATGCAGTAGGACCATGGATCCATTCTGTGTTTACTGTCCCAGTCTTCAGAAGTGTAGTGAGAACAGGTACACTCTGAAAATGGTAGCATGTCCACATTGGTTCTCTGGCTTATCAAATGATGTTTAATATGGCAGGAGAGACCAAAAGGAAGCCTCTGAAAGCACTCCATGTAAGAAGTCCAGCCATCCTGATGCACCACACTAGAAAGACTGTGCAGAGAGACTACAGAGATACAAAGAAAGATGCCCGGGGACCCCAGCTGATCCAGCCCGGGGCTGTTTGACATTCACCTTTAATGTTTTGGATGTATCTTTTAATAGATATATAACTTTGAGAAGTATATAGTATTGTTTGTATATATGTGTTTTCAATTTACATAGGCTAATATTGTCTTGTACTGTTTTGTACATTTTTCACTTACCAGTACATTTTCAGATATTTCTCACCCCTGTATGGTAATTCATTGTATGGATCCACTACATTTAACTTGTCCACTCACTAAATGATGGACATCCAGGTGGCCTTCAACTCCCTGCTACCACAATGATCAACAGCCTCATACATGCCCTACCCCCCTTCATGAACCTATGAAAACTTCTATGAAGGCTCTATTGACAGAGAAAAATTCAAATTCCTATTTTTATTTAGAAGTAATTCTATTATGTCAAATTTAAACAGACCAGTGGGAGAAAGTCAATACACAGGATCTATATATATATATATATTTTTCATACATGTATGTATCTCACACACACAAACACACAAACATACTAGTGAAGTTATGGAATAAAGTCGGTGAAATCACAANTTCTATGAAGGCTCTATTGACAGAGAAAAATTCAAATTCCTATTTTTATTTAGAAGTAATTCTATTATGTCAAATTTAAACAGACCAGTGGGAGAAAGTCAATACACAGGATCTATATATATATTTTTTTTTTCATACATGTATGTATCTCACACACACAAACACACAAACATACTAGTGAAGTTATGGAATAAAGTCGGTGAAATCACAGTTGAAGAGTTAATGATCACAATGCTGATATGTGCAATACAATCTTAGATAAGTAAACTTAATTTACTACAACTATAGTAATATGTTTAAACACACACATATTTAGTGATTATGGTAGCAAGATCATGTTGCCTAAAAAATGATCTCATCTTTCTTAGGAACAGACACTGGGCAATGTGCCCAGTTGAATAAATACACTTTCAGCCTCCTTTGTTGATAGGGGTGACCAATGAGGTATAATGGAAGGGACAGTTTACATTTTCATTATGATCGCACGAACTCATGTTGCCTAAAAAATGATCTCATCTTTCTTAGGAACAGACACTGGGCAATGTGCCCAGTCAGCCTCCTTTGTTGATAGGGGTGACCAATGAGGTATAATGGAAGGGACAGTTTACATTTTCATTATGATCGCACGAACTCACCCATTTTCTTACACCTTCTCCAGCCTTGACTCTATTAATCTTTACTTTTCCCAGTGTGAAGCATAAAAATAGTTGTTAGTTGATTTTCCCTCATGTTGTGATGTAGAATAATTAAAAATTATTATAAATTACAAATTCAGCAT